GGGATTAAAGGTGTGTGCCACCAAGCCTGTCTTAACAACTCTTCTTATTCTCATCAGAGAGCTGAGATTATTCAGCAAACAACTCCATAACTTAGAGACAGAGAAAGTGAATATAAATCACAGCTTAGAGAGCCCGAAAATTATGAGCAAAAATCCTCATGGGAACCAGTGCTAGAGTAGAGAAACAAACTGAACTACTGGAGGCTCAGTGTGGACAAGCCTGTGAGTTAAAAACTCTCAAAGTGTGTGATGTCTAGTAGCTCTACTAGGTCCTCCCAGTGAATATCAGAGAAAAACCTCTTTCTGCTTCACAGAGGGAAAGGAACAGCTTTGAAGTTTGAAATGCCAGAACATTCTATTCTTAACAACACCTAACCCCAGGAAAAAGTATTTTATTAGAACCTTTTTGGAGTTTTAAAGGAGCATTAATGAACTGAATAAATGGAGATACTTAACTCTAGATCAGCGGGTTCCCAATCTGTGGGTCGAATATCAGATATCCTATATATCAGATATTTACACTATAACAGTAGCAAAATTAAGTTACAATGTAGCAATGGAAATATTTTTATTGTGGGGGGGGGTGACCACAGCATGAGGAACTGTGTTAAAGGATCACAGCGTTAGGAAGGTTCAGAACCACTGATCTAGACCTCATCAGACATCTTGTTCCAGCTAAGGGCCTAGAAACAAATTTGAGAAGCACTGGTGAAGTCCATTGTCCATGGGTACAGGGTTATCAAAAGACTGAGACTTAGGGTGAGATGTCATTTCAGATGGTAGAGTGCTTACCTGGCATTCAAGAAGCCCTGGGTTCAATCCCAGTGTCATGTAGCACACACCTTTAATACCACCACACAAGAGGTAGAGGCAGGAGGAGTTGAACTTCAAGGTGATCCATAGCCAGGGCTACATACGATTCTTAAACAAGTAAGACTTAATCATAGAACGGGCAAATGTGTCTCCTTGTCTCCTCTACACAAATTAAGGTCCATTTGCTAGAGTTCATTATATCCAAATAGTAGCATCTGATATTTAACAAAAATTTATAAGGACTAATAAATTGGAAAGACCAGTTTCAGAACACAAAGACACATTAAAACTGACTTATGCATGGCAAGGATGTCGGTGACAATAGGCAAATGAGAAGAACATATGAATAATAAAAGTAGAATTGGAAACTCTAAGGAAGAGTAGAAAAACTAGTAATCAAAAGCACTATAACAGGCAGAAGACCACTGATAGGCCATTAGTAGATTCACATGGTTGAGGAAAGAATTTGTGAGATTGAAGATATAAAAACATAAGGCTGTAACTGAAAACATGCCTTAGTCCATCCAGGATCGTATTACAAAAACAACAAAGACTGGAAAGCTTGTGTACAATGGAAATCTATTTTTTTAACAGTTTTGGAAGCTGGGCAATACAAGATCAAAGTACCAGACCTTCAGTGTTTGCTGAGTGCCTACTTCTGGTTTCATGAACGGTATCTTTAGTATTCTCACACCAAAAAGGGACAGGACACTTCTCTGGGGCCTCTTCCATAAGGGTATTAATAACAAGCACCTCCCCAAAGCTCCACTACCTAAGTGGTGGGTAGGTTTCAGCATATGAATTTTGGGTCATATAAACATTTGGGCGACAACAAAACCAGGGAGAAAAAAAATGACTAGAAGAAAAATGATAGGATATTCAGCAAAACAGTGTAAGCATGCATTATGGCAATGCTAAAAGAGAAGGAAAAAAGCAAAATTTGAAACAATCATGACTAAACCTTTCCCCAAACTTGTGCCATACACAAAAGTACATACAGATTCACTAAGTTCATAGAGCATTAAAGATAAATGCCCTCAAATCTAATCAAAGTTCACCAAATCAAAATAAGAAAAATAATAGGCCAGAACAAAACCAATACCTCACCTATAGAGGAGGAAATAGAAACATTACATAGGATTTCTCAGAACTACACAAAGGAAGAGAATGAAAGAAAAGTATTTAAGCAAAAAAAGTAGTCACTAATGTAGAATTTCGTGCCCTGGGAAATTCTGTTCAAATGGAACTAAGAAGAAATAAATATTTCTTCCTCTAAATAAAAACTGAGGGGGAGTTTTGACAGTAAGCCTGCCCTGCAAGAAATATTAAAGAAGCTGTTCAGAGCAACAAAAATGATATATAGTTCAGAAATTCAGATCTACACAAAGAAAAGTAGAGCATAAAAGATGAGCACGTGATGGTAAAACAAAACCTTTTATTTTTTCTTGTTAAGTGATCTAGAGTATAATGTTCAAATCTGCAGCAGTAAGAATGCACACATACATGAGCGCTTCTGTCCATGTGCAATGAGTGGCAGCAATGATGCATGGGATGAGAGAGGAACTGGAAATATTTTGTTATTGTAGGATACTTATAGAACCATATAGAAAAAAAGTATAACTGAAATGCTGAGGAAAGAGAAAAATAATAGAAAAAATTCTTAAAAGCACACAAAGAAGAAAAAGTATGGAGGGCAAATTTGGAGGAGAGAACAAGGACAGTTCAAAGAAAAGTGCAGCACATGTGGCAGGTTTTGATCCAATCTCAGCAATAATCACTCCAAATGTCATTGCTCTAAACATGTCAGTCAAAAGACAGATTGTCACTAGAGTGGATCAAAAAAGTCCCTAGCCATGTATGAGTGCACACGTCTGTATTGTCAGGACTCATGAGGCTACTGCAGGAGAATGGCTTCAAGTTTGAGGCCAGTCTGGTCTACATAGTAATTTACTTTAATGAGCAGTCCATTTCCCAAATTTAATTAACAAAGCAAGCACTTTATAGAATATCTTCTATGAATTCACACTGTATCCAGTACTTGGCCTTATTCAACTCCACACTGTGAAATAAATGAAAAGCATAGAATAGCCATACATTTAACTAAACTGAATGGTGTGCTTATCGTGCCTGCAGGCCATTTGTGGTTGAAGTGCAATCACCAGAAGTATTAGCCCCACAATGTACTCATATATAAAGCAAACCACTTATTAACTGTGATACATAGTAAGTTTTGAGTCAGCCAACATGAGACATTGTTTTTGAAAAATAAAAACAACAATAAGCAAACAAAACTAACCCCCGCCATACGAAGACTCATGTATATGAGTCATAAGAAATATACTTTAAATGTAAAGTCTACATAGATAAAAAGTAAAGAGAAGGAAGATAATACCATTTTAATAGTAATTAAAATGGAAGTAGCTGCATGAATTTAACAAAGCCAACTCCAGAGCAAGGAAAGTTATCAAGAATAAGGACAGAGGCTTTGTTAAAAGGGCCTGCAGTTAAGAAGGCCTCACTCTCTTAAATGTGTAATCTGCTAACAGCAGAGTTTCAAATTATGTGATGCACCAGCTGAGGGAACTGTAAAGAGAAGCAGAACAATCTACTAACTCCCCTCTATAAGATGTGGATGAGGCCGGAAAACAGAAAATCTGGAAGGGCATAGTTGAACTCAACACCTCTGTCAATCAAGTAGATACAATTGCCATCTGCAAAGTATTTCATTCAATAAGAACAAATTACAAATTACAAACTCACATGGAAGTGTCACTAAAAGATACCTCATTCTAGCCCATGAGATAGACCTTAATGTCGAAATGGAAATTATACAGTGAGTGTTCTTGGACAGCAATGGAATTTAACAAAAAAAAAATCTACAATGAAGATAGCTGAACATTCCCCCACACTGGAGACTGAACCATTTACTTTAAAATAATACATGGGTCAAAGAAGAAATTTCAAAGCTTCAAACTAAATTAAAATGAAAACGCAATTTATTTAAATCTGTGGGGTGTGGCAAAGTGGTGCTTAGAGGTAAATTTGTAGGAAGAAATGCTTACATTAGAAATGAAGAAAGATCTACAATCAAGTACAAAACTTGCTATCTTAGGAAACTAGAGAAAGAAGAATAAATTAAACAAATTAAATGTTAGTTTGCTAACAGTTGGCAGTTTCTTACAAAATTACATATATACTTTTCACAAAACTGAGCAGTTGTGCTTCTTGGTGTTTATCTAAATGAAATGAAATTTAATGCCCTTCCCCTAATCCTGTGTTTGCATATTTATAGCCCCTTTACCCATAATTGCTCAAACTTGGAAGCACCACAGATTTCCTTTAGTGTGTTAATGGAGAAATAAATTGTGATATATTCAGGCAATACAGCATTATTTAGTGGTAAACAGAAATGAGTCCTCAGACCAAGAAAAGTCACAAAGGAAACAAAGGCATGGTACTAAGTGAAAGAAGCCAATTTGAAAATGTTCCACACTATTTGATTCTCATTACATGACATTCTGGAAAAGGAAATACCATGTACACAACAAAAAGATCAGTAGCTTCCAAAGGCTACCAGGGACAAGTGACGATCAGGCAGAAAACAAACTTTAGGACAGCGAAACTATTTTGTATATTAACACAATGGAGGAGAC